AAAAGAGAATATTAAAGAAACGTAAGTTATATTCATGTATATATATATACAAAGTGTCCTATAACAATGGTACAAGTGAACAGGGTGTGATTCTACATGAAAAACTAAGTTAAAAATATAGAATAAAATTTGTTCATAAAGAAAAATTTTGTTTTAGAGCAAAATAAATTTGAAAATTTTTCGAGTACCTGTGCTCTTGATTTAGTTTCAGCGTAATGGATTCCACTATCTTATTTTTGAATATTTTGGTTAGCATTTTTGTGCATTTTATTATATTTACAAACACATATATTACAATATGATGATATTTCTTGTACCGATTCTATTCTTATGCTTATCAAGTAAAGCTTTTAGTTTCCATTGTTGCAAGCTTAAGTGCAAAGTTTCAAGTGCACGTGTACTCTCAACAAATTTTCAAATTTATTTTTCTACAAAACAAATTCTTATACGAACAAAAATTATTGTATATTTTTAAGTTAGTTTTTAATGTAGCATCATCCTTTACTCGTTTGTTCCACTAGTTGCAGAATACTTTGCATATTTCATTTAAGAATTCTAGCATATTAACTAAAAGTATGTATAGTTTACAGTGTTTATTATGTCCATTAACATTTCCATCCAAACGTTCACTGGCATTGCATGTATCAGGGGCACACGGAGGTAGCAAAACATGTTTTTTTTACGTGTATTTATTTATATATTCTCAGTTTTATAATTAAATACCTTTTTGTAGATATGTATATGATATTATGCGAACGTTGCGGTCGACTTTTCAATAAAAAGTGTGTCTTTAATAATCACTATATATATTGTGGCTGTGTTAAAGTACCTTTTAATTGTAATAAGTGTAATAAGAGTTACAGGTAAGATGGAATTTATATTTTTTCATTAAAATATAATTAAGCAAAATTAGTACGTAGCAAAACGGAGTTTAACAGTTTTTCTATCCATATATATTTATATGATTTTTTTTAGGCATAAATCATCTTTAATATACCACCTCAAAATCGTACATAAAGTAGACTATAAAAACGATAAAACAAAGGAATATAAATGTGATGTCTGCTCAAAAACATATAAAAAGTATGGCGCTTTTGAAAAACACTTAGGTATACATGTTAATTCTAAAAAGTCCTTGAATTTAAGGGATAAAAATTGTACTCTCATAGTCACCGTCTAATATACATTATTTTTCATATATTACATTGAATACATGGATGATAACTAATTATTATTAATAATTTCTCGAGCAATGTGTGAAAACTATTCTTTTACAATCTATTTTACATGACATTATTTTTATAAGTTCATAGCAATATATTTTTATATATTTGATAAAAAATATTATTTTTAGTTTAAGTTCATGTTTAATTTTAGTTTTAATTAATTAACTGACAAACAAGATAAAGAAAAAAAAGGAAAAAGAAAATCTTTATCGAACTTGGTTACGTCGATTCCACTCAGAGATGAAGTATTTTTTATCTTGTTACATAACATTTTATTTATGTAAATTTGATTGTTTAGTTTATGCATAGATATATATGTTACTGTGAAAGACCGGAATTGGAGAATATCAAGTTTCACGTGGTCGCTTGTCAATACATATCAAATACGTCGGTGAAAGACCGAATATTTGGGCTTATTCGTATACATTAATATTTCGTACATGTACCAAGCTACCATGTGAATTTTGACATTCTCTAATTTCGATCTTTCACGGTAACTTATATACATGTATGGAAATATTTTTTGGTTTGCTAAATAATTTTTTTATTTGTGAATTTTATTTTTGTGTATATATATAATACGTAAAAACGTTTAGAATTAAATTATATTAGATATCATTTCGATTTAAACTAATTTTATCGTTAAATATATATGTATACGTTATGGCAAATAAAATTTGTTGTATTTTTGATTCATTTAATTGCTTTAAGAAGAGAGATGTAAGAAATCGAAGTCATTATAATCTATAAGATGATTTAAAGACTGTTAAAATAACGTTCTTCTAAAGATAATTATATTGGATTATATTTATTATATCTACTTACTTTTTGATAGTAGGATAATCTCATTACCAAAAAATCTCCTGCGGTGATTTTACACGAAAAACTTGAACGAATAAACAAAATAAGAGGTGACGATGAATAGATTGAAAATTTGTACCACTTTAAATTGTATGCGGTATTTCCGATATCCTCGGCCTTAAATAAATGTAACATCCATTTACAACATATCATATATAATAAAAACAATAAAATGTAATATTTTTATATAATATTTGATGTTTGTTGGAAAAATTAAAGAAATAACGAATGACAACAACGATTACCTTTTCAATAAGAAATTCTCCGAGATAGCAATAAATGAAGAAACTGTGTGTAAGAAATATTCCATAGGAAGTATATGTGAAGATTCCACCGATGTCATTATTCTCTACATACTAATTACGATTATTGACATTTATCTTAATTAAATAATTATTATTATATTAAATTTTTTCCATAACTTACTATAACAAATAAATATCCATCTATACCAAGAGCAACAGTGTTTCCCAGCAATTGAAATAATATTAATCCACGAAAAGAATTTTTCATTATTTTCACGTATCTAAAATCATTAAATTAATTTTAAATAATTAACAGTTATGATAAAAATAAATAAAAGAAAAAGTGAAACTTACTCGATTATTAGTACATGGCGTTCTACGATACAACTCAAACAAGCGCATTCTCTATTATTATTATTATTATTATTATTATTATTATTATTTTTATTTTTATGTTTACTATTACCAGAATAATTACGTATTACGTTGGACAATATTGCGAGCTGTCCGCACGCATGAAGAACTGCAGTACATAAAAAAGAATCCGTTGAGAAGTTCACGCACATGATAAAAAAGTTTTGCATTAATTGAATCATATAAATTATTTCGAAGACAGGCGTTTGTTTTTCATCGAATGGAAACCATCCTTCGAAGGGTAATTTTCTTATCGTTATATTTAAATACGAATTAATATTGACGATATGCCCGTTGTAGATCGGCGTAAGTATAAAAACTAAATAATAAATAACTATTATTACGGGGTAATTTAAAAAAAAAAATCGTAGAATACATTTTTTTTCTTACTAAAATTTGTTAGCACTATGCAAAGCGTATGAATTAGGTTAATACGTCTTGCTATTTTTGCGTGATGAAGTAGAATCTTCTTATTGATTTCCGATAAATCAGAAAAATCGTTCCAATCATCGATCATACGTTTGATAATTATTTCGTAGCTTTTACTATTTAGTTTAGCGAATAAAAATCTTGTGATAGTAGGGACACTGTAAACGATCATCAAAATAATGTCTACCGGTATAGTTTCACCATTTTTTATATAAAGAAATGAAGGGATAAACACGATACTGGACATTAAAAAAATGAGGAATGATTTTATAGACCCATATAAATCTTTTTCAGGCCAAAGACCTAACAGTTTCATACTCCAGCGAGCTAAAAAAATAGTTTCGTAAAAATTACCATTGTTTTTTAACATTGCAATTATTTCAAAACAACGCGCCATTTTTCACCGATCTCACCAAAACTAAAACTGAAAGTAATAAAAGTCCTCCGACAATGTATCGTGTTTTCTTACATCTACACAAATGGGCGTAATTGGTTTAAGCATCTTCTAATTAGCTGTTCTAATGACCGAGAAAATAATAGGATACATTGCTTATAGATTGAAAATTAATGGTGATATTTGAATTATATATACAATTCTTTACTGCGTTAGTTCGATACTTAACTTGTCATTAATGATTGCTTTATATACATTATTTGTCGTATAATACATAGATGTTACATAAATTATTGAAATTGTATGTGCATGTGAATAATTCAATATATTCCGTGTAGTCTTACTTTATTTTTTCTACGATGTAAATGGTCGATGTATCTTTCGAAAATTATACAGTCCTTGTAGTATACAGTTTCATATATATAATTTGTTCTTATTAATTACCATCATTTATATTTTATTTACATATAAACGTTGTATAAATTATTCGAAGAATTTTCTATACACGCGAATAGTTCGATTTCTTCGGTATAACGTTATTTTATATTTTCTTAGATCATAAACGGTTGAAGTTTCTTCCGAAAATGTTACAATCCTTGCGTAGTAAAGCGTTGCTTCTATAATTTGACGTTGATAGATGACAGACGATTTATAATGATAAAACAAGACCGCTACACACTTGAAAACTTTTTCTTTTTTACATTTGAATGAAAATGTATACGATGTCTAGAAAAACCCTCTTTTTTACACCAATTTTAAGAACATTACGCCTGTCTAAAAGACAGCTTGATCTGTCTAGATTTTATGATAACAACGTTCGATATAATAAGTCATTTATATACGAAATATATATGAGATATGAAATAGAGATCATTTAAATAATTTTCATCATTATTATTATTAATTAAAATATTGTAACATTTGATTACATGAATTAAAAAAAGAGAAAAACTCAAATCTGACAATAGAACAAAGACTTCCATCAAATTTGAATTATCCAATCCTAATATTAGCATATTTGCTACAATAAAAACAAAATCCTGTGACATAATCTTATTGATCCAAGATTTTGTTGTTGTAGAATTAATTTCCGAAGCTGTACGGGTAAAGATATTAAAAGTGTATGCTCAAAGATACGCGAAGTCGGATAAGTGGCGGGTAAATTGAAATTTGTAGCAATCGATCCAAATGAATGGTAATCGCCGACTTAGATGAAATTTTAAGAAACAAAATGATTGGTGTAATATTTGTATACATTTTAGAAAAATATAAGAAGGAAGGAAAGAGGAAGAGAAGGAAGAGAAGGAAGAAAGAAAAGAAAGAAAGAAAATAAGGATAAAAGAAAGGTAGGAAGGAAGGAAGGAAGGAAGAAAGGGTTGCAATAGTGGCGCCAACACGGAGAAAATCGGAATCAGAGCTTAGACCGGAACCGCGCAGATCGTCCTCAGTAGTTGCCCAGACGCTGTCACGGGCGTAGCTGGATGCTGGGTTGTCTCTCTCTCTCTCGCGCGCGCGCGTGCCGCAGGGAGGTGCTTCCTTTTCTTCTTCCTCTTCCTCCTGACCTACCTCCCTCTCGCCGTTTCCTCCTGTCGCCGTTTCTTCTTATCTTCTTGACGCGGCGAATAAAATAATTCATAGATTCAATTTAAAAAGCAACAAGGTAACGCGCGGCGATAGTTAAAAACAGCGACAGCATCAACGACAACATCAACAATAACAACAACCACAACAGTAACAACAATATTATAATAATAATAATAATAATAAAATAATAATATATAATAAAAAGGAAGAAGAAAAAAATATAACACAATACAACACACACAACTCCACTTCTTCCCTCTCCTTTTCCTCTCCACCAATAATCTCTCTCTCTCCTTCCACCAGCCTCGTCTCGATAGTGGCCACGTCCGTTTTCGCTTGCCGGCCGGGAAGAAGAGAGAAAAGGAGAGAGAGAAAGAAGCTACGTAAAAGGGGAAGAAAAAGAGAGAGTGTGTGTGTGAGTGTGTTTGTGTGTGTGAGAGAGAGAGAGAGAGAGAGAAAGAGAATGTGACAGAAGGGGTGATGGTGGTTGTTTCTTGCCGGTCGGTTGAAAGAAGAAGAGAGAATTGTGTGAAAGCGAGAGAGAGAGAGAGAAAGAAAGAAAGAAAGAGTTAGATAGATAGATAGATGATAGATAGATAGATAGATAGAACTGAGAGAATATAAGAAAAGAAGAGAGAGAAGGTGTGAGAAGTAAGAAGTGTACTTCTGTGTATGGTGCAGTGCGGTGTGTCGTGCTTCTTCTTCTTCTTATTCTGGAGAGAAAGAGAGAAAGCCGCCGAATAGAAGAAAGAAGAGAAAGAAAAAAAGAAAGAGAGAAACATAGAGCATGGCGTGGTCGGATTTAGCATGTGTCGTCTCCTTGCCGTGACGTGAAAAGGTGAGTAATAGTTGTATTTAACAAAAAGACATTTCATCTTCCGGTTGTTCAATTTCGCGCTAATTTCTTTATCTATTTTTTTTTGTTTTATGTTATCCTACCGATCGAATTTAATTAACGAAGAAGAATAAGAATAAGAATAAGAAGAAGAAGGATAAGAAATATTGTTTCTATTTTGTATATGTTTATTCGTTTATTATAATAATGAATATGATTTAAAGAAGAATGGAAATATGTCCGATCGAAAGGAAGAAATTCTGGTTGTCTGGTTTAGCTCCTTCTTCCTACTTCGTGATATCAAAGATCGTACGCGCTCGGCCGGCGTCGCGTGCGTAGACAGAGACGGAGATAGATTGTGCAAGGGAGAGAAAGAGATGGAGAAAGAGGGTGAGAGTAGTGTGCGAGACAGTGGTGTGGATAGAGGGGATAGCGGACATGGCGTTTTCGAGCAACCACTTCGATTCTCGTTCGATATTTTCCTCCCCTTTCTGTCTGTTTCTCTCTCTCTCTCTCTCTCTCTCTCTCTCTCTTTCACTCTTTCAATCTTTCACTCTCGTTAGTTTTATCTACGTGTCTCTTTTTCGATTTTCGTTCGATTTCATTTTGATTTTCGCGTGTTCGATCGTACCGGGTCTATGCACTCTTCCAATATTTCAGTCTAGTGTCAATGGGTTTTGAATTCATGAAAAAAGTTGGAAGGTACAAAATGAATTAATAATTGAAACCACATGGACCAAGGTAAATCTACGAATGATGATTTTTACAAAGTTTATAGTGATTCAATTGAAGCAAGAGGACCGTTTCATTTACACGTAAGTTCGTCCTTTTCCTTGTGTCATCTCCTATAAGATGGATATGTATATATATATATATACTATTTATCTATCTCGTTGTGCTTTGATAACATTGTAAATATTATTTTCACGTTCAGGAGATTTAGATGAAAGATTGGAAGCGTCGAACTTTGTTGAAAATCGAATCGTTCAACGATCGGTGCTTATTTTTTTTTTGTCGTTCTTTCCCCTTGATAATATGGAAAACACGAAGTCGATTGGGGGCTTGCAAAGTTTTAGGTTAGCTTAACGTGCTGTTTCTTCCTTCTTCTTTGTCCTTGTCAAAACCGATTTCGCAGAAACGACGGAAAATCCCACGTATCAGAGATCTTTTATCGCAAATATATATTAGATTAATAATAATGAAATTTCGATCGTTTTCAATATCAAATGTTTTCAAAGAGTAATACTAATCAAGTTTCTTTTTCTTCCTTCTTCCTCTTCATATGTAATTAGGTATGTAAATATGTGAAATAAATAATGTAAACAATTTCGAAGTAGATTTATCTTTCCTTTTGTTTTTTTTTTCTTTGAAAAAGATAAAACAAAAGACTAGGGCAAAGTAAAAACGTTCTCATAAACTTAAAATCCGTAAGTCGTATCGTCAGATTTTACGAGACCACCTTGTAGTGATCATAAAAGAAAAAAGTTCGCGACGTTTATACGGTCTTTTAGTTACAAAGCCAACGTGAAACAAGCGATTTTAAAGTAAATTTTCATTCTCATAGTGATGCAGAGTAAAAATGAGAGAAAGAGAAAGAGAGAGAGCGTGAGAGAGAGAGAGAGGGTGGGGAGGAAGAGGGGGAAAAATAAAAGAAAAGGGATAAAAATGCGCGCCAACTTTTGCATTTAAAAGGTATTCGAATGTAATTTATAGCCGTTGGGGTTTTATTATAAATCTGGATTCGCGTGTTCGCAGGATCGTTAACGTTTGCATCGTGATCGTATGTACTTATATTTTTTGTTCTCTTCTCTTTTATTTCCTTTTTTTTTTTTTTTTACGTATAACTATGGCATGTTATGTCAAAAATAGATTCGTTGCTTGCGTGAGTCCTGAATCTCAATACTTGTCGTGACTACGTGCAATGTATCTATATGTATATATATATATATATATATATATATATGTAACATGTAACAGGAATGAAAAAAAAATCTCAAATTTAAATATTCATCGAGAAAATGATTAAGTCAACCTAATAGCCCAATTTTTTTACGAATTTATTATTATTATTATTATTATTATTATTATTATTATTATTATCATTACATCAACGTCAAAGGTATCATTTTTAAATATAATTTTCATTTTCATTGAAACGCGCGATTCAAAACGATGAAGTATTAAAAATGATATTTAAATGAAGCAAACTGTCGTAGATGCAGCATACGATCTTATTTCAAAGTGAAATCGGCTTTCTCTCTCATTCTCTTTTTCTTTCTATGCGATCGGTGTCAGCTTGTACGAGCTCGTTCGTAAGATGGCAAGAAGGAACGTATTACCATGATAAAGGCAACCCGGTCGCATCGAAAATCAAGAGAAAATTGATCGTCGAGTGGCTTGTCGAATAGCTCTGATATCGAGACCAGTACGTTCGAGATCGAACGTTCAAGCTCGACTTAATAATCATCTCAGATGGTACAACTCTGTTTTATAAATCTAATATTTGTAATCATTTTATGTAAAACATCTTCCTTTATTTAGTATATATTTTATACAAAATTATATAATCCCATGGGAATTGTAAAACGATGTAATCGTATGCTCGCAAAATAGATTTTGTTTTATTAATTTTGTAATGTAGAAAAAGAGAAGAAAATTTATTAAAAATATACACGCATAGAACTAGGATCGGTTCGCGTAAACTGTAACAAATATGAAGTTTATAAAGTATTATCGTTCCAATAATATATGTTGCAACATATAAATAACATTATTAATATTAGATAAATATTGATATATACAGTGGTTTATATAGAGAGTGTATTCAGAAGGGTGGTAAAATCAAGTAGAAAGTGATTTTATATGTGAAAATAAGTTAAAAAACATAAACAAAAATAACATATTTTTATTCAAAATTTTCTGTTCAAAAAACAAAAACAAAAATAACATATTTTTATTCAAAATTTTCTGTTCAAAAAAGAAAAATATGTATAAATATTACATTTGAATTTCATTGGTAAACATTTTGTGCGAAAGGTACATTACAGTCGCTTTGATATGTACATAAATATTAACATTTTTCTTAATTATCCAAAAAGTTTTACGAGACTAGGTTTTGAAATGAAGAAAACAAAGATTCTAGTTAATATCAAGGAACTAGTTTTATATTTACCTTTTTGTCATTTCCTCGAGTTGGCGAGTTGAATAGCAAAGTAAGGCGTTTCGTTATCATATTATTTATGAGCCAGGGAATTATTTATTTTATTGGGGTGTAGGTTGAGAGTAGAAAGAAAGACAGTGAAAATGAACAACAAAAAAGCCAATACAATAAAAAGGGAGGAAAATATTAAGGAAGGAAATATCTCAAACTGGCTACTTCTGATTTATGTAATTTTGTAAATGTCATTCGAGAAAACATAATCGGTACTTGACTCTTTTTAAACAAAATCTTTAATACAATTTCATTATTTTTTGTTTTTGACAGAAAATTGTAAAAAAAACTAAAACGCGTTTGTTTGAGAAACACAAAGAAATCTAACGAAATCGTTTTGTTGATTGAAAAACAGAAATTATACAAAATTTCTCATTTTTATATTCGTTCCGTAAATCTGTGATTTACAATTTTTTTCATTTATTATCTTTAGAAATTCGAATACTTATTTTATATCAAACGCGCGTTCGTTATTTTTATAAAAGAAATAAAAAATAAATAAAAATAAATATAGTAAACCACAGTAAAAAAAAAAAAAAAAAGAAGCAGAAATTCCAGCAGAGAAAAAATATTATAGGTACAAACTGAACCAAAAATTTCGAACGAGAATACATATTTCGTACCGTTTGTCTAAAAAAAAAAAACAAAAAGGAAAACAACCAAATGTCGAATTTTCAATAGGATCGTTTGCTGAATCGCTGACGTATTAAAAAGGGAAATAATTCGTTTCGACGTAAGCCGGTTTACCGAGCGATTACATGTCGACTGAATATTCGTATTTAAGGATTATTGTTTTTTATAACTCGTTTTATACGATCGACCTTCTCGAATTTATGATTTTGAATACTTACAACTTCCAGTCATTGCCAAAAATGAATCATTTACAACGAGCTATTTATTTTAGAGCTAGAAAGAAATAGGAAAATTCGAAAGAATAATATTTAAAAATGTATACTATAGAAAAATTGATTGATATATTGTCTTATCGATACAAAAGATGGTAGCATTAGATGATTTATGAGAATTTTGTCAACAATGAAAGAAGAGACAAGACAAAAAGAGATAAATAGAAAAATATAAATTAACATGGATAATAGTTTTCTAAAAGATACTGAAATATATTCCACCTCGCGAGATTATGATTAACAGATAAATATAATATATACGGTATCAAGTAGTGAAACTCAAGAAGAGAAACGATGAGCTAAATTAAAACGTGCTATTGAATGAAGGAAACGTTGCATAAAATTCGAGAACATAATATAATAAGAAAGGAAAGTTTATTCGACGTAATCTTGCATATGTATATCCATACTTTCATATCTACTTATACGTGCATATAAGTTGACATGTATATGCGTGTATGTGGGTGTGTATTTTGACGTATACGTATGTCTAACAGTGTTTCTCCTTCTCTTTGTCGTTGGAAACGAACGGACATCTTTTCCACTCGATGAATTCGCATAAATGCAAGAAAAAGCGCTTCGTTTTACTCCCACGACAGCTTTGTAGTTTTTCTCTCTCTCTCTCTCTTTCTCTCTCTTTTTCTTTATCTATTCGTTCCTTTCGTTTTTCGCGAGTTAAACGCACCGGCAAAAAGTCCCCACTTTCAACTCCCCACAGTCCATCTCCGTACCCCACTACTCTTCCACACACTTTTCTATATAATGGACGATCCACTTAATCTCGCGACCCAGAGAAGCTTTCAAAGTTTTAATTTTAGATAAAACCCGCTCCATCCTGAAAAGAAACTATTTCTTTTTCCTTTTTTTTTTTTCTTTTTCTTTTTCTT